GACTGTCTCAAAAGGAATTAACCCTGTACGTTCCGCCGTGTTGATTCAATTTGATTTCGTAATCCATGTACAATTGAAATATGAATAAGCCCAGGTGCGTGTTACCACTCGTGCCTGAGAGAAGTCAGTGCTGTCAGAACACTTCAGGCACCTATTTTGGGACAATCTGAGACTGTCTCAAAAGGAACTAACCCTGTACATTCAGCGGTGTTGATTCAATTCGATTTCGAAATCCATGTACTATTCAAATTCGAATAAGCCTAGGTGTGTGTTACTACTCGTGCCTGAGAGAACTCAGGGCTGTCAGAACACTTCAGGCACCTACTTTGGCCCAATTTGAGACTGTCTCAAAAGGAATTAACCCTGTACGTTCCCCCGTGTTGATTCAATTTGATTTCGAAATCCATGTACTATTGAAATTCGAATAAGCCTAGGTGTGTGTTACTACTCGTGCCTGAGAGAAGTCAGTGCTGTCAGAACACTTCAGGCACCTATTTTGGGACAATCTGAGACTGTCTCAAAAGGAACTAACCCTGTACATTCAGCGGTGTCGATTCAATTCGATTTCGAAATCCATGTACTATTGAAATTCGAATAAGCCTAGGTGCGTGTTACTACTTGTGCCTGAGAGAACTCAGGGCTGTCAGAACACTTCTCAGGGGTTTTCGCAATCATTATGAGCCGGTCTCAAAAGGAATTAACCCTGTATGTTCCCCCGTGTTGATTCAATTTGATTTCGAAATCCATGTACTATTGAAATTCGAATAAGCCTAGGTGTGTGTTACTACTCGTGCCTGAGAGAAGTCAGTGCTGTCAGAACACTTCAGGCACCTATTTTGGGACAATCTGAGACTGTCTCAAAAGGAACTAACCCTGTACATTCAGCGGTGTTGATTCAATTCGATTTCGAAATCCATGTACTATTCAAATTCGAATAAGCCTAGGTGTGTGTTACTACTCGTGCCTGAGAGAACTCAGGGCTGTCAGAACACTTCAGGCACCTACTTTGGCCCAATTTGAGACTGTCTCAAAAGGAATTAACCCTGTACGTTCCCCCGTGTTGATTCAATTCGATTTCGAAATCCATGTACTATTGAAATTCGAATAAGCCTAGGTGTGTGTTACTACTCGTGCGTGAGAGAACTCAGGGCTGTCAGAACACTTCAGGCACTACTTTGGCCCATTCTGAGACTGTCTCAAAAGGAATGAACCCTGTACGTTCAGCCGTGTCGATTCATTTCGATTTCGAAATCCATGTACTATTAAAATTCGAATAAGTGCAGGTGCGTGTTACTTCTTTTGCCCGATGTTCTTGATCCGGGGTGCAAGTAGGCTGGGCTATTTTGACTGTCTCAAAAGGGATGAACCCTGTACGTTCAGCCGTGTCGATTCAATTCGATTTCGAAATCCATGTACTATTGAAATTCGAATAAGCCTAGGTGTGTGTTACTACTCGTGCCTGAGAGAAGTCAGTGCTGTCAGAACACTTCAGGCACCTATTTTGGGACAATCTGAGACTGTCTCAAAAGGAACTAACCCTGTACATTCAGCGGTGTCGATTCAATTCGATTTCGAAATCCATGTACTATTGAAATTCGAATAAGCCTAGGTGCGTGTTACTACTTGTGCCTGAGAGAACTCAGGGCTGTCAGAACACTTCTCAGGGGTTTTCGCAATCATTATGAGCCGGTCTCAAAAGGAATTAACCCTGTATGTTCCCCCGTGTTGATTCAATTTGATTTCGAAATCCATGTACTATTGAAATTCGAATAAGCCTAGGTGTGTGTTACTACTCGTGCCTGAGAGAAGTCAGTGCTGTCAGAACACTTCAGGCACCTATTTTGGGACAATCTGAGACTGTCTGAAAAGGAATTAACCCTGTACGTTCAGCCGTGTCGATTCAATTCGATTTCGAAATTCATGTACTATTGAAATTCGAATAAGCACAGGTGCGTGTTACTACTCTTCCCTGAGAGAACTCAGGGCTGTCAGAACCCTTCAGGCACCTACTTTGGGACAATCTGAGACTGTCTGAAAAGGAATTAACCCTCTACGTTCAGCCGTGTCGAATCTAATTGATTTCGTAATCCATGTACTATTGAAATTTGAATAAGCGCAGGTACGTGTTACCACTCGTGACTGAGGGATCTCAGCGCTGTCAGTCCACTTCAGGCACCTACTTTGGCCCACTCTGAGACTGTCTCAAAAGGAATCAACCCTGTACGTTCAGCCGCGTCGATTCTAATTGATTTCGTAATCCATGTACTATTGAAATTTGAATAAGCCCAGGTGCGTGTTACCACTTGTGACTGAGGGATCTCAGGGCTGTCAGTCCACTTCAGGCACCTACTTTGGCCCATTCTCAGACTGTCTCAAAAGGAATCAACCCTGTACGTTCAGCCGTGTCGATTCTAAATGATTTTGTAATCCATGTACTATTGAAATTTGAATAAGCGCAGGTACGTGTTACCACTCGTGACTGAGGGATCTCAGGGCTGCCAGAACTGATATAAGGGCTTTTCATAGGCATTCTGAGACTGTCTCAAAAGGAATGAACCCTGTACGTTCAGCCGTGTCGATTCTAATTGATTTCGTAATCCATGCACTATTGAAAATTGAATAAGCGCAGGTACGTGTTACCACTCGTGACTGAGGGATCTCAGGGCTGCCCGAACTGATATAAGGGCTTTTCATAGGCATTCTGAGACTGTCTCAAAAGGAATCAACCCTGTACGTTCAGCCGTGCCGGTTCTAATTGATTTCGTAATCCATGTACTATTGAAAATTGAATAAGCGCAGGTACGTGTTACCACTCGTGACTGAGGGATCTCAGGGCTGCCAGAACTGATATAAGGGCTTTTCATAGGCATTCTGAGACTGTCTCAAAAGGAATCAACCCTGTACGTTCAGCCGTGCCGGTTCTAATTGATTTCGTAATCCATGTACTATTGAAATTTGAATAAGACCAGGTGTGTGTTACCACTCCTGACTGAGGGATCTCAGGGCTGTCAATCCACTTCAGGCACCTACTTTGACCCATTCTGAAACAGTCTCAAAAGGAATGAACCCTGTATGTTCAGCCATCTCGATTCTATTTGATTTCAAAATCCATGTACTATTGGAATTTGAATAAGCGCACGTACGTGTTACCACTCCTGACTGCTGGATCTCA